CATAATTTTTGGTATAGTAGTTGTGACTTATTCACACTCTATACATTTGGCTTCCGCAACACTAATCACATAAGCGAGCTTCATCCCGATCTCTTGTCCTTGAAGGGGACAAAGAATGGATAATATTTTCACTTGGTTCTATAATCTATGTAATACAAGTTGGATCTTGACATTGAATAATAGCTTTTGCTTCCAGCCTTTATGATGTGTTTACCATCTTGTTTCAATTGTGTGCATATGTTCCTTTTCTTTTAGGTATTGGTTGGCTATCTTACATGATTTCTTTGTTGTAAACTTTGTATATATGGTTGCTTGCGTACTATGTTTCAGTAATTAGGAGAACCTAACTGCATTGAGATTGTTTGTGCCTTAATGAAACTCTTGTTCTGGTGTCCTTGAGACAATTAAATATTTAAGTTAGATTCTAAGTGGTAATAATAGTTTCTCATTGTCCTTTCAGATGCAGATATTTGTAAAGACACTCACTGGAAAAACCATTACTCTCGAGGTTGAGAGTTCAGACACAATTGATAACGTGAAGGCCAAAATTCAAGACAAGGAAGGAATTCCCCCTGACCAGCAGCGATTGATATTTGCAGGGAAGCAACTTGAAGATGGAAGGACACTTGCTGATTATAACATACAGAAGGAGTCGACACTTCATCTGGTGTTGCGTTTGAGGGGAGGTATGCAGATTTTTGTCAAAACTTTGACAGGAAAGACCATCACTTTGGAAGTGGAGAGCTCTGACACTATTGACAACGTGAAGGCCAAAATTCAGGATAAAGAAGGGATCCCACCAGATCAGCAGAGGCTCATATTTGCTGGTAAGCAGCTGGAGGATGGGCGCACCCTTGCAGATTACAATATCCAAAAGGAATCCACACTCCACCTTGTGCTTCGCCTTCGTGGTGGTGAATATTGAGGATTGAAGTGCTGCTGGTGTTTTATATAAGATGCCTACCGTCTTGTTCTAATGGTTTTGTTGTTAAGACTTCTTTTTGGTTTCTCAAGTATTCTTCTAATGTTGAATGACCAACTTTAAGGGGTTCGCTTTCAACTAGATGTTATTCTCTGTTTCTTTTCCTTTGCTCTGCTAAATATTAGGTCATTCTGTTTCTTGAGTAAATGTTGTCTCCTTATCTTAATCTGTTTCCCTCCCCCTTTCTCTAAAGAGAAGTAAGAAAATAAATTCAACTTTAGGGAAGCACAAGACAGCAGGCACTCATTTTGTGACACTTTCTTGAATGCCTTACCTGGGCTTTCTATGGTAGCAGAATTTGGACGGATGGTTCATATAAGGCAACTTAACTTGCAGTAATAACCTCCAGGTCTATCAAAACTGCCTTCGCAGTTAGTTTTGTTCTGCATTGTTAGCGGAAACGTGAAAGAAAGAATACAAGATTTAACGTGGTTCGGATCAAAATAATCCTACGTCCACCAGAGAACAGTTGCCTTTTTTTTTTATTAACAAAGGAAGGGGAGAGTTCCCAATTACACTTAAGAGAATTTCTCTCTTAACTCTCTACTCACTACAATGTGTTGTATTATTTTTGGGATGGTTTCTACAAATGAAGGAGTGCATCTATTTATAGAGGTAAAGACCTCCTCTTGATGTTATTGGTGACATCAAACTACCTGCTCTTGATGTCATGGGTGACATCAAAGGAGGAAGCTTCCTCCTAGCATCCATACCAGCTCTTTCCACCAATTCTTCCAATTTGCATGCCATTGTTGACTAAACATAAACCAACACCTTCAATCTCCACCTTGGTTTGCGTTTCGAGCGTGCGTGTGAACAACTCTGGCCAAAACTTCTAAGCTTACTGGGCAACCCCGTTGTAAGAAACAAGAAGAATCAAACCATTGTTGAACATACCACCTCCACCTAACAACTGTTCTCTTCGGAGTTGCATCAGTTGATGCACACCCCCGCCAAGTCCTTGCAGTGTGCAAACTTAGCGAGTGGGACTATCTTGGTCAACATATCTGCAGCATTATCGTCTGTGATAACCTTCACGACCTTGATAGTTCCCTCTTCAACAACATCTCGAATAAAATGAAATCTAACATCAATATGTTTAGTGCGCTCATGAAATCTCTGATTTTTCATTAGATGGATAGCACTCTGACTATCACATCTAAGAGTTGATTCCAGCTGAACCAAACTCAATTCCGCTACTAAACCTTTCAACCAGATAGCTTCCNAAGGTGACATCTCTACTAACTATAAATTTGAGTAAAGACAAACACCAAAGTTTGTACCCTTTTACTCCATCCACATACCCTACGAATATGGCCTTCTTAGCCCTTGGTTCAAGCTTTCCTTCATTAACGTGATAATAAGCTGGACACCCAAATACTCGTAAGTATGAATAGTTAGAGGGTTCACCTGACCATACCTCATTCGGAGTCTTAAAGTCAATTGTCGATGCTGGAGATCGATTGACAATATGAGCAGCAGTGTGAACTGCTTCATCCCAAAATACTTTGAACATTTTGGCTTGTAGGAGCATACAACAAGCCTTTTCAAGAAGAGTTTTGTTCATTCTCTCGGCAACTCCATTCTACTGTGGGGTATGCCTGACAGTCCTATGTCTTGAGATCCCATGAACCTTGCAAAATTCATTAAACTCTTCATTGCAAAACTCCAAGTCATTGTCTGTGCGAAGATACTTGATTTTCCGCTCCATTTGATTTTCAACCAAAATCTTCCACTCTTTAAATGCTTCAAAAGCATCACTTTTTGCCTTCAAAAAATGCACCCAAACCTTTTGTGAGAAATCATCAATAAAAGTGAGAAGATACCTCTTTTTGCTCTTCGATGGAAGTTTAGAGGGATCCCATAAATCTGAATGGATGTAATCTAGCACTCCTCTTGTCTTGTGTTTGCCAGTGCTGAAGCTGACCTTCTTTTGCTTCCCTAGAACGCAGTGCTCACAGAAGTCAAGTGTGATGATCTTCTCACCTTCCAAAAGGTTGCGATTTCTCAACATCTCCAGTCCACGTGCGCTCATATGACCCAGTCTCATGTGCCATAGTCTTGTCTTGTCATCATTAGATAACTGCACTGTAGATGCATTTGCAGAGCCAACAATGGTGCTTCCG